GAGACTCACCCGCTGTAACCGGAGACTCACCCGCTGTCACCGGAGGCTCACCCGCTGTAACCGGAGGCTCACCCGCTGTCACCGGAGACTCACCCGCTGTAACCGGAGGCTCACCCGCTGTCACCGGAGGCTCACCCGCTGTAACCGGAGGCTCACCCGCTGTAACCGGAGGCTCACCCGCTGTCACCGGAGGCTCACCCGCTGTCACCGGAGGCTCACCCGCTGTCACCGGAGACTCACCCGCTGTCACCGGAGACTCACCCGCTGTCACCGGAGGCTCACCCGCTGTAACCGGAGACTCACCCGCTGTAACCGGAGGCTCACCCGCTGTCACCGGAGACTCACCCGCTGTCACCGGAGACTCACCCGCTGTCACCGGAGACTCACCCGCTGTAACCGGAGGCTCACCCGCTGTCACCGGAGGCTCACCCGCTGTAACCGGAGACTCACCCGCTGTCACCGGAGACTCACCCGCTGTAACCGGAGACTCACCCGCTGTAACCGGAGGCTCACCCGCTGTCACCGGAGGCTCACCCGCTGTCACCGGAGGCTCACCCGCTGTAACCGGAGGCTCACCCGCTGTAACCGGAGGCTCACCCGCTGTAACCGGAGGCTCACCCGCTGTCACCGGAGGCTCACCCGCTGTAACCGGAGACTCACCCGCTGTCACCGGAGGCTCACCCGCTGTCACCGGAGGCTCACCCGCTGTAACCGGAGGCTCACCCGCTGTAACCGGAGACTCACCCGCTGTAACCGGAGACTCACCCGCTGTAACCGGAGGCTCACCCGCTGTAACCGGAGACTCACCCGCTGTAACCGGAGACTCACCCGCTGTAACCGGAGACTCACCCGCTGTAACCGGAGGCTCACCCGCTGTCACCGGAGGCTCACCCGCTGTCACCGGAGGCTCACCCGCTGTAACCGGAGACTCACCCGCTGTCACCGGAGGCTCACCCGCTGTAACCGGAGACTCACCCGCTGTAACCGGAGACTCACCCGCTGTCACCGGAGGCTCACCCGCTGTAACCGGAGACTCACCCGCTGTCACCGGAGACTCACCCGCTGTCACCGGAGGCTCACCCGCTGTCACCGGAGGCTCACCCGCTGTCACCGGAGGCTCACCCGCTGTAACCGGAGACTCACCCGCTGTAACCGGAGACTCACCCGCTGTCACCGGAGGCTCACCCGCTGTCACCGGAGGCTCACCCGCTGTAACCGGAGACTCACCCGCTGTCACCGGAGACTCACCCGCTGTAACCGGAGGCTCACCCGCTGTCACCGGAGACTCACCCGCTGTAACCGGAGGCTCACCCGCTGTCACCGGAGGCTCACCCACTGTCACCGGAGGCTCACCCGCTGTAACCGGAGGCTCACCCGCTGTAACCGGAGACTCACCCGCTGTCACCGGAGACTCACCCGCTGTAACCGGAGGCTCACCCGCTGTCACCGGAGGCTCACCCGCTGTCACCGGAGGCTCACCCGCTGTAACCGGAGGCTCACCCGCTGTAACCGGAGGCTCACCCGCTGTAACCGGAGGCTCACCCGCTGTCACCGGAGGCTCACCCGCTGTCACCGGAGGCTCACCCGCTGTAACCGGAGACTCACCCGCTGTAACCGGAGGCTCACCCGCTGTAACCGGAGGCTCACCCGCTGTCACCGGAGGCTCACCCGCTGTAACCGGAGACTCACCCGCTGTCACCGGAGACTCACCCGCTGTCACCGGAGACTCACCCGCTGTAACCGGAGGCTCACCCGCTGTCACCGGAGGCTCACCCGCTGTCACCGGAGGCTCACCCGCTGTAACCGGAGGCTCACCCGCTGTAACCGGAGACTCACCCGCTGTAACCGGAGGCTCACCCGCTGTCACCGGAGGCTCACCCGCTGTAACCGGAGACTCACCCGCTGTCACCGGAGACTCACCCGCTGTCACCGGAGGCTCACCCGCTGTAACCGGAGACTCACCCGCTGTAACCGGAGGCTCACCCGCTGTCACCGGAGGCTCACCCGCTGTAACCGGAGACTCTCCCGCTGTAACGGAGACTCACCCGCTGTCACCGGAGGCTCACCCGCTGTCACCAGGGGGCATTAGGGGCGGCAGTGGCTCAGTGGTTCATGTAGGTTGTCTACAAACCGAAAGGTTGGTGGTTCAATCCCCGGTTCCACATGACCAAGTGTCGAGGTGTCCATGAGCAAGACACCTAACCAGCTGCTCCCGACGAGCTGGATGGCCCCTTGTATGGCTGACACCACCGTCGGTGTATGAATGTGTGTGTGAATGGGTGAATGTGAGGCAATATGTAAAGCGCTTTGGTGGCCATTAGGTCTATGAAAGTGCTATATAAATGCAGTCCATTTACCATTTTAACCAGAGACTCACCCGCAATGCATTCTCAAAAGCACCCAAAAACATGCAGCCTACCACTAAAACACACACACACACACACAAACGTTCATTCACTCACACACAAACACACACTTTTATGATGGATAGATGCACTTTTATGAACTTTATGAACAGAAACATCAATTCACTGCCATTATAAAGCTTGGAAGAGCAGGACATTGTTTAATATAACTACTTGTATTCGTTTGAAAGAACACTAGGATGGGTTGAGGGCGAGTAAATCATGGGCTAATTCTCATTTTTCACTTAACTATCCCTTTAACTGCAAAGTGCGTTTCTCTCCTCTGTCCATCCAAGAATTGAGCAACTCAACCGAAGCTATTTAAAGAACATCCCACCGTTGACAGCCATGTTCCCATGAGCTCACCAATTAACAGGGAATGTAGAAAGCAGCGGATTAACCCGAACTCAGAATAGCCTGACCTTAAACCCGGAGAGCAGGTGAGAGAAACGCGGCACGAAGCACAGACAAAACAAGCTCACACTTTCATCAGCTCTCATGTTTATTGATATTATATGGCCAATTTATTCTCCATAAGCCCAGAGTAAACAGACGGGAACAGGACTGCATGTTCGTTTGGGTTATATGAGCCGTTTCAGGTGCAATTAAAACAGCAGGAGACCTGCAGATCTGTCTGGGAGAGTCGCCTAAAGTTCACAGACAACATCAGCGCTCTCTCTCTCTCTCCTCAACAGCTTTGATGTGTCACTCGCTCTATCATTTCAGCCATAAACTCAATGGCCGCTGGGACTGTAAACGTAGCGAGCGGGAAACTTTACAGTTCAGTGAACGCAGTGAGATTCAGTCCAGTGAGAACATGAACCTCAGCATGAGGAGATGAATGCAGATCAGCATCAGATTAACCCTTCAACTGCAGGGAATAAACAACACTAAATGCTCATTTTGCATTCGCTTAATGGGAATTACAATGATAACTGACCATACAATCATGCATGATTAAGACAGGAAAGTTTCTTCCTGTAAAGATGCTGTTGACATCCAAGCAAACAGGGAATGTTCTCGGAATGTTACAAACAAACATTCTTCCAGTAACGAAAATAGAATGTTCGTTCAAACTTAATGTTCTAAACGTTCTTTACGTGTTACTTATTCAAAACATTCCCATAATGTTTGCGAAAGGATCAAATGGAATGTTCCCATAACCAAGAACAATCACATTTAAAAAAAAAACATATGATAGAGACATTTAAAGTCATACAGACATTTAAAATACAGATAAAGTGATACTGAGACATTTACACTCTAAAACAAGCTGGGGTGTTTTAACCCAACTTTCGGTCAAATATGGACAAATCCAAACGTTTGGTTAAAATGTAATTAATTAAATATCTCTTGCTGTACTAAAGGATACTAAAGGAGGTCTGTGGAGGATATTCCATTACTCCAGGTTTCCTCTGATATATATGAATTGACAAATCAACCATTCTGCACGGATGTTCTCCAGATTCATATTTTTTATTGACATTAAAGAGAAATGACTCCCTTCAAATGTAGTGGAATGATTAAAATTGCTTCCAGCCCTGTACTGGGAGGAATGGATGGATATGATAAACCATTTTGATGCTGAAATGTAGCAGAATCCCGTTTTGACGTCTTGACGTGCTCCTGTGAACCTTAATTGTGTAGTTAAGGTGAAGGGAAATAGAAGGCTTGCAAATGACCGTGAGCTTTGAGATCAGCCGTTTTACGAGCGATCGTTTGTGAAATGAAAGAGCAAGCGTGCTCGTCCAGAGGTTCTGCACCCCGTGTGCGTCGGCTCCCTCGGGGCTCGAGACGCTGGGAACGTTTGATGTGCCGAGGCCAGGTGTGTAAACCTGTAAATTTGCCTGCTAAATACAAACAGGAAAAGTGAAAGAGTGCTTGACCTTCTGCAGAGACGAACCATTCCTGCAGTAAACGGCCCTCTGTTTATCTTCTCAATTGTGGCCCGCCTCGTTAGATTTATTACCTCGTACGTTCACTATCAGCCTTTGAATTCAACCCATGCTTTGATGTTTCCGTAACGCACCAAACAAATGACAGACGAGACCTTTCACATGTATGAGAACGTCATAATCATTTGTTAAACAAGTATTCATCTCTTCGATGAGCTCATCGTTTATGCATTAAATCATTACGTTTTTCGCTAACTGTGATTTCCGAAATGCATAACTTAGACAGTTTCCTCTGATCACTGTAATATGGACTTTCTGCAGATCTACTTTGAAACGACTTTGTGATTTTGTGAAAAGCGCTATACAAATACATAGGAATTGAATTGAATTAAACTACGGGATCTTGAGAAAGGCCTGTGTGTCACGGCATGTGATTCTTCATAAACGTCGATGAGATCTCGCAGGATTCTTCCCTCATAACTCAGAGAGAGAGAGAGACCACTCATGTTTATGGCTCCCTCTCACGTCCACCGGAGGCCTGGCTAGCAGAAACATATGATTCTCTCTCTCTCTCTCTCTCTCTCTGTCTCTCGCTCCAGCATCCCACCGACAGCTGAGTGGCTGAGGCGTAATTGCAGAGAAGTGAGGTCAGCATGAGGCTTTTATCAGAGATTGCACAGCGTTCAGCAACACGAGAAGATGCACTTCACGAAACTCACTCTCTCGGTGCGTCACGGTGGAAGTGTCTCTGGAATCGGCGGGACTGAAGCGCATGTCCTGGAGGAACAAGTAAGTCGATTTATTATTGCAAGACAGCATTATTGCAACATTTTAAACCAATAAATTGTGTCCTAAGTTAGTTTGACAGAGAGACAGACACCATGACAAAAATACTGTCGTTTTAAGTAGCAGTAGAGCAATATTGAGACAATTAGAGAAGTGATAGAGAAACATTGAGACATTTAAAGAAGTGATAGAGCGACATTGAGACATTTAAAGTAACAATAAACCAACTTTGAGAGATTAAAAGAAGTGATAGAGCAACATTGAGACATTTAAAGAAGTGATAGAGCAACACTGAGACATTTAAAGTAACAATAAACCAACTTTGAGAGATTAAAAGAAGTGATAGAGCAACACTGAGACATTTAAAGTAACAATAAACCAACTTTGAGAGATTAAAAGAAGTGATAGAGCAACATTGAGACATTTAAAGAAGTGATAGAGCAACATTGAGACATTTAAAGTAACAATAAACCAACTTTGAGAGATTAAAAGAAGTGATAGAGCGACATTGAGACATTTAAAGAAGTGATAGAGCGACATTGAGACATTTAAAGAAGTGATAGAGCGACATTGAGACATTTAAAGTAACAATAAACCAACATTGAGAGATTAAAAGAAGTGATAGAGCAACATTGAGACATTTAAAGAAGTGATAGAGCAACATTGAGACATTTAAAGAAGTGATAGAGCAACATTGAGAGATTAAAAGAAGTGATAGAGCGACATTGAGACATTTAAAGTAACAACAGACATTTAAAATACAGATTAAGTTACTGAGACATTTAAAAAAAAAAGAATAGATACTGTAGATGTTGGGATTTAAATTAGCAACATTTGAAGAAGCGATAGGAAGACATTGAGATGATTCAAGTAGAGATAGCTCCAATGCTGAAACATTAATATTTGCAAGTCAGCAACAGTGAGACGTTGAAAGTAGCGATGGAGCGACATTAAGACACTCGTTTTAAAGACAGTGAACATGTAGAATCTGGTTCACATTGAGTGACGACTCGAGTGTGATGAACTGTGATGTATCTTCACCAGGAAAGGACAGTGTGTGATTTATATCATTTGACTGTCATTAACAACAGATGCTAACACACTTTTTCCTCCTCCAGTTCTGAGGAGATTCTGATGCTTCAGGAGGAGGTCAGAGTTAACTACAAATCCCGAGGATTTTACTGGGAAGTTTCAGAGCGGATCTCCAACAGTTTTGCCTTCAGTATGTGGATCAGGAACTCGTTGAGAAACGCAGTATAATGCGCAAATGGACGCTGCAATGGAAACTGCCTGAGTTGCCGTGTGGACAGTGGCTGCATGTCGTGCTGGTCGTCAGCTGTGTGTGTGTGTGTGATGGCGACAGGGTCGTTGGGCAGGCGTCTGTGACTGACTGTTCAAAACACGAACGTCACACCAGGAACTACGACTACATGGAAGGCGGGGACGTTCGAATACGACGCCTCTATAGTCGCACACAGTGGTTTCTGATGATCGACGAGAACGGGAATATTAACGGAACGCAGGATCCCAACAACTGCTACAGTAAGAGCTCATCGATCACTTATGACATGTGTGTGATGCGTGTGTGACGCACTTTATGGTTCTGGTGTGTGTCAGGAGCCTCACAGAGGAATTATCACTGGAGCCACATTGAGACATTAAAAGTATCGATAGAGCGACACTGAGACATTTAAAGTATCGATAGAGCGACACCGAGACATTTAAAGTATCGATAGAGCGACACTGAGACATTTAAAGTATCGATAGAGCGACACTGAGACATTTAAAGTATCGATAGAGCGACACTGAGACATTTAAAGTAACGATAGAGCGACACTGAGACATTTAAAGTATCGATAGAGCGACACTGAGACATTTAAAGTATCGATAGAGCGACACTGAGACATTTAAAGTATCGATAGAGCGACACTGAGACATTTAAAGTATCGATTGAGCGACACTGAGACATTTAAAGTATCGATAGAGCGACACCGAGACATTTAAAGTATCGATAGAGCGACACCGAGACATTTAAAGTATCGATAGAGCGACACTGAGACATTTAAAGTATCGATTGAGCGACACTGAGACATTTAAAGTATCGATAGAGCGACACTGAGACATTTAAAGTATCGATAGAGCGACACTGAGACATTTAAAGTAACGATAGAGCGACACTGATACATTTAAAGTATCGATAGAGCGACACTGAGACATTTAAAGTAACGATAGAGCGACACTGAGACATTTAAAGTAACGATAGAGCGACACTGAGACATTTAAAGTATCGATAGAGCGACACTGAGACATTTAAAGTAACGATAGAGCGACACTGAGACATTTAAAGTAACGATAGAGCGACACTGAGACATTTAAAGTAACGATAGAGCGACACTGATACATTTAAAGTAACGATAGAGCGACACTGAGACATTTAAAGTATCGATAGAGCGACACTGAGACATTTAAAGTATCGATAGAGCGACACTGAGACATTTAAAGTATCGATAGAGCGACACTGAGACATTTAAAGTAACGATAGAGCGACACTGAGACATTTAAAGTATCGATAGAGCGACACTGAGACATTTAAAGTAACGATAGAGCAACACTGATACATTTAAAGTATCGATAGAGCGACACTGATACATTTAAAGTATCGATAGAGCGACACTGAGACATTTAAAGTATCGATAGAGCGACACTGAGACATTTAAAGTATCGATAGAGCGACACTGAGACATTTAAAGTATCGATAGAGCGACACTGAGACATTTAAAGTATCGATAGAGCGACACTGAGACATTTAAAGTATCGATAGAGCGACACTGAGACATTTAAAGTATCGATAGAGCGACACTGAGACATTTAAAGTAACGATAGAGCGACACTGAGACATTTAAAGTATCGATAGAGCGACACTGAGACATTTAAAGTATCGATAGAGCGACACTGAGACATTTAAAGTATCGATAGAGCGACACTGAGACATTTAAAGTATCGATAGAGCGACACTGAGACATTTAAAGTATCGATAGAGCGACACTGAGACATTTAAAGTATCGATAGAGCGACACTGAGACATTTAAAGTATCGATAGAGCGACACTGAGACATTTAAAGTAACGATAGAGCGACACTGAGACATTTAAAGTATCGATAGAGCGACACTGAGACATTTAAAGTATCGATAGAGCGACACTGAGACATTTAAAGTATCGATAGAGCGACACTGAGACATTTAAAGTATCGATAGAGCGACACTGAGACATTTAAAGTATCGATAGAGCGACACTGAGACATTTAAAGTATCGATAGAGCGACACTGAGACATTTAAAGTATCGATAGAGCGACACTGAGACATTTAAAGTATCGATAGAGCGACACTGAGACATTTAAAGTAACGATAGAGCGACACTGAGACATTTAAAGTATCGATAGAGCGACACTGAGACATTTAAAGTATCGATAGAGCGACACTGAACATTTAAAGTATCGATAGAGCGACACTGAGACATTTAAAGTATCGATAGAGCGACACTGAGACATTTAAAGTATCGATAGAGCGACACTGAGACATTTAAAGTATCGATAGAGCGACACTGAGACATTTAAAGTAACGATAGAGCGACACTGAGACATTTAAAGTATCGATAGAGCGACACTGAGACATTTAAAGTATCGATAGAGCGACACTGAGACATTTAAAGTATCGATAGAGCGACACTGAGACATTTAAAGTAACGATAGAGCGACACTGAGACATTTAAAGTATCGATAGAGCGACACTGAGACATTTAAAGTATCGATAGAGCGACACTGAGACATTTAAAGTATCGATAGAGCGACACTGAGACATTTAAAGTAACGATAGAGCGACACTGAGACATTTAAAGTATCGATAGAGCGACACTGAGACATTTAAAGTATCGATAGAGCGACACTGAGACATTTAAAGTAACGATAGAGCGACACTGAGACATTTAAAGTATCGATAGAGCGACACTGAGACATTTAAAGTACGATAGAGCGACACTGAGACATTTAAAGTATCGATAGAGCGACACTGAGACATTTAAAGTATCGATAGAGCGACACTGAGACATTTAAAGTATCGATAGAGCGACACTGAGACATTTAAAGTACGATAGAGCGACACTGAGACATTTAAAGTATCGATAGAGCGACACTGAGACATTTAAAGTATCGATAGAGCGACACTGAGACATTTAAAGTATCGATAGAGCGACACTGAGACATTTAAAGTAACGATAGAGCGACACTGAGACATTTAAAGTATCGATAGAGCGACACTGAGACATTTAAAGTATCGATAGAGCGACACTGAGACATTTAAAGTATCGATAGAGCGACACTGAGACATTTAAAGTATCGATAGAGCGACACTGAGACATTTAAAGTATCGATAGAGCGACACTGAGACATTTAAAGTATCGATAGAGCGACACTGAGACATTTAAAGTAACGATAGAGCGACACTGAGACATTTAAAGTAACGATAGAGCGACACTGAGACATTTAAAGTATCGATAGAGCGACACTGAGACATTTAAAGTATCGATAGAGCGACACTGAGACATTTAAAGTATCGATAGAGCGACACTGAGACATTTAAAGTATCGATAGAGCGACACTGAGACATTTAAAGTATCGATAGAGCGACACTGAGACATTTAAAGTATCGATAGAGCGACACTGAGACATTTAAAGTATCGATAGAGCGACACTGAGACATTTAAAGTATCGATAGAGCGACACTGAGACATTTAAAGTATCGATAGAGCGACACTGAGACATTTAAAGTATCGATAGAGCGACACTGAGACATTTAAAGTATCGATAGAGCGACACTGAGACATTTAAAGTATCGATAGAGCGACACTGAGACATTTAAAGTATCGATAGAGCGACACTGAGACATTTAAAGTATCGATAGAGCGACACTGAGACATTTAAAGTATCGATAGAGCGACACTGAGACATTTAAAGTAACGATAGAGCGACACTGAGACATTTAAAGTATCGATAGAGCGACACTGAGACATTTAAAGTATCGATAGAGCGACACTGAGACATTTAAAGTATCGATAGAGCGACACTGAGACATTTAAAGTATCGATAGAGCGACACTGAGACATTTAAAGTATCGATAGAGCGACACTGAGACATTTAAAGTATCGATAGAGCGACACTGAGACATTTAAAGTATCGATAGAGCGACACTGAGACATTTAAAGTATCGATAGAGCGACACTGAGACATTTAAAGTATCGATAGAGCGACACTGAGACATTTAAAGTATCGATAGAGCGACACTGAGACATTTAAAGTATCGATAGAGCGACACTGAGACATTTAAAGTATCGATAGAGCGACACTGAGACATTTAAAGTAACGATAGAGCGACACTGAGACATTTAAAGTAACGATAGAGCGACACTGAGACATTTAAAGTATCGATAGAGCGACACTGAGACATTTAAAGTAACGATAGAGCGACACTGAGACATTTAAAGTATCGATAGAGCGACACTGAGACATTTAAAGTATCGATAGAGCGACACTGAGACATTTAAAGTATCGATAGAGCGACACTGAGACATTTAAAGTATCGATAGAGCGACACTGAGACATTTAAAGTATCGATAGAGCGACACTGAGACATTTAAAGTATCGATAGAGCGACACTGAGACATTTAAAGTATCGATAGAGCGACACTGATACATTTAAAGTATCGATAGAGCGACACTGAGACATTTAAAGTATCGATAGAGCGACACTGAGACATTTAAAGTATCGATAGAGCGACACTGAGACATTTAAAGTATCGATAGAGCGACACTGAGACATTTAAAGTATCGATAGAGCGACACTGAGACATTTAAAGTAACGATAGAGCGACACTGAGACATTTAAAGTAACGATAGAGCGACACTGAGACATTTAAAGTAACGATAGAGCGACACTGAGACATTTAAAGTAACGATAGAGCGACACTGAGACATTTAAAGTATCGATAGAGCGACACTGAGACATTTAAAGTATCGATAGAGCGACACCGAGACATTTAAAGTATCGATAGAGCGACACTGAGACATTTAAAGTATCGATAGAGCGACACTGAGACATTTAAAGTATCGATAGAGCGACACTGAGACATTTAAAGTATCGATAGAGCGACACCGAGACATTTAAAGTATCGATAGAGCGACACTGAGACATTTAAAGTATCGATAGAGCGACACTGAGACATTTAAAGTAACGATAAAGCGACACTGAGACATTTAAAGTATCGAAACGGCCGGCTCAGTGTCCAGTGATTATCGTCCGGTCGCGTGGCAGAGTGACGAGCGAGTGACAGGCGTAAAGAGAAACAGGTGCGCTTATTTATAGCTCGTTTCCCTTCGTTACAGGATCAGAGCTCAGCAGGGAAGAGCCAGTGCTCAACACAAGTCACTGAAAAACATTTCAATGGAGCGTCAAAAAATGTTTATAAAAAATTGGGGGTAACACTTTATTTTACAGTGTCCTTGTTACATGTTAGATTACGCATAATTGCATGCAACTAACCCTCAAACACATCCTAGTAAGTAGATGTATTTAATTAATATTACTCAATGTACACTGTAACAATGACACCAATGGGTTACACTATTATAAGGTGTCATTGTTACAGTGTAATTATATAATTAAGTACCGAGTAATATTAATGAACGTACAAAAGGGTTAGGGCAGGATTTTTATTTGCATGCATTATGCATCATTTACTGTGGTAATGTAAGGACACTGTAAATAAGATCCTACCAATAATTGAGGAGTCAGAACCAGGACTCAAATATAGACTCGAGGCTTATGTTATGACCATCGATATTAAAATGAATGATTCTGTTTACACCAAACTTGCTCACAGCTGATGTTATACACATAGAACTGTTATACACATCAGCTTCAAGCATGTTTGGTTATTAGTTATTTTGTTAGTGTACGAGAAGAAAGTTGGCGTGACACCATGCATCTTTGCTCCAGAGGGAGAATGATTGCGTCAGCTGGCGATGAAAAGAAGAAAAATTGATACAGCCAGATGTGGCCGACAACTGCACGCACTGTAAGACACACACTGTAAGACACACACTGCTTACACACACTGCAAGACATGAGTGAGGGAAGGAGAGAAAAGCAGACGCGTTTTGAGGTTGTCAGAGTTGTGTCGTGACAGCAACTTATTATACCATTAGATTTAGAGCTCTCACATGTAAACCTCACACACACACACACACACACAGAGCTCAAGACCACAAGAGTAGTGTCCGTTTCTGATTTAAACACGAGCGTAACAAACAGGCCCTTCAGCTGTGAAATATCTGGTCTGGAGTTCGGAGAGTTTTAACCCACGGGTGATCCAATCACTGATGCTGAGATTCAATCTTCAGTTTCTATCTGAAGGAAAGAAATGCTTCCTTTATAGAAATGGATTTTGAAAGGTGAAGAACAAATAAAGTTCATTTTTTTGTGTGGGAATCAACCTTCCACTGTCATATTAGGCGGCATTTAAACCCTCCAAATGACACACATCACTTTTAAATCATAAATTAAATGAATATCTCACATAAAGCCTATTTACTACAGACAAACTCAAAGAGTTCAATGTTATTCAGGTCATTTATTAACTTCTCTGGTGCTTTTCAGTCACTTTACAGCAAAAAATAAAAAATACATTTAAAAAAAAAGAGAAAAAAAGAAAGAAAATGTTTTAATTTTGTTTGTTATTTGCATTTCATCTGAATGATATGACACTTGAGGACTAAACAAATTCTGGGTGTGATTCAAAAAGGTTTAAAAATAAAATTAAACCTTAACTATTAAAAATCGTCAAACATAACCATAGAGATTTATAATAATAATAGTGTGAGGCCACATTAGCCTTGAAATTGAGTGGTTTAACCCTTTGCTGCTCGTCGTTTAAGGGTCACACACTCGCACTCCTCTCGCTCAAAGGTGGCCAAACACCTCGCATCGCATTTCTTTTCTGCAGTATGATATATTTTTGTTGAATAATATATTTTATTTAATATTTTGCATTTTGAGGGAAAGGTATTAAGTAATATCTATGCAATAATTATGATCTATCCCCCCACACATTTTTTTTACAATACAATTATTTCATATATTCACTTTAAAGAAAAAAAAAAAGTGAATATTAAAAAAATGCACTGAAATTTTTTAGGGTACAATCAGCTAAAATGCAAAAAAAAAAAAAAAGACAAACAGCAATGTTTTGAAACATAATTATGAAAAAAATAATAATGTGTGTGTGTGTGTAGAGGATAGATCATAATTATTGCATATATATTACTTAGTACCCTAGCATTCCCTCAAAATGCAAAATAATAAATAAAAAATATTATTCAACAAATATACAGTAACACTTTACTTAAAGTCCTTCTGTATTATATATGTATTTTTAATGCAGTGATTATGCCCTTATAATGCATTGTATTGTCAATTTATTATGACTCTAATTGTAACCAGTTATAATAATACTAATCTATTCATTGGACACAACTTTACAAGTATAATGCATTAAAACATGACAAATAAGCAATTTCAGAATCGGCAAATATTATAATGGATTTTAACTTTGGTTATAAATAATTATTTATGAAAAAATGTACAGTCTAAATACCTTATTTTTCATACATTATGGCTTTAAGTAAAGTGTTACGAAATATATTATACCGGGAGAAAGAAAAGTTTGCGTGTGCAAGTGTGTGTGACCCCTAAATTATTTTGTCCATCTAATTTTTTTTTTTTTTTAATAAATAAAAAAAATTCTATGCATTTTATATTTGAAGAGTTCAGATGCAAAAGCCTCTAAATGCCATTTGAAATGTTCTTCTTTAATGATGATTTTTTTTTCAAACTTGTATATTTAAGTTCAGTAATTTCACTTAAATGGCAATGGTAATTACCTATTAATTGTTATTTAAGTGAAATTACTGAACTTGAATATACAAGTTTGATAAAAATCATCATTAAAGAAGAAAATTTCAAATGGCATTTAGAGGCTTTTGCATCTGAACTCTTCATTTACATTTTTTTTTTAAATGTCCCCTAAATGAGGAGCGGCAGAGGGTTAAACATCGTCTTTCCAAGGCAAATCTTCATTTCATTTTCATTTTATTTTTATTTAATAGGGACAATGCACGTTAATGAACATAAGTACAACATGTAAACAAGCCGGATTATAGGAATATTGCTAATTTACGTCCGTAAATCTGTCCCTGAAGAACCCGAAGCGCTCGGGCTGATCCGCTGTCTGTGTTTCAGGTGTCCTGGAGATACGGACGGTTTCTGAGGGAGGCGTGTTGGCCATAAAAGGCCTGAAGAGCCAGTATTATATTTCCATGAGCCGAACCGGAATGTTACAGGGCAAAGTAAAACCCATCCGTCCTGCAAACACATCTTTTACTCTGATTCCAGCTAATGCATTCTCATGCTTTTAAGAGTAAATACAGCAACTTTTACAGCCAATTAAGGTCGTGTCGTACCTGTTCCTCTCTCCTTTCCCGAACAGAAAGACTACAACGACAGCTGCAACTTCAAAGAAGTGTTTTTAGAGAACTACTACACAGCGTACGCTTCTGTCAGAAAGACTCGAGACGGAAAAGAGATGTTCATCGCTCTGTCGAAAAACGGCCGGCCGCTGAAAGGAAAGAAGACGCGGAGAGAGAGCGTCACTTCTCACTTCATCCCTCGCAATTACCGAGAAGACGAGAAGACACTGGCGTGAGGATGCACGCGAGATTACTGTCAGTATGAGGCATGTTTGATCACTGTAAACCCTAGCGCTCACAATAATGAACTGATTTGAGTAGAGCCAACTCAAATTATACAAATTAGTTCCGTCAAATTAACTTTGAGTATTTCGAATTTTCTTTTGAGTTCACAAACTGACACATTTTAAGTAAGAGTTTTACATTTTTATTATCTTGTTATTATTTTAATTTAGATAAACTGGGATGGGATTTCCCAGCATGCTTTATCATGACATTAAAAAGGGAGAGTAAATGCTAAAATTAAGTGTTATATAATGCTTTTTTTTTTTTTTTTTTAAAAGTGGGAGATTTTGTAATGTTTATTATGCTATAGTTTAGTATAGTTTCTATTATGGTGGGTTTTTTGGGAGTTTGCCAAAAAGAAATTAAGTTTGTAAAGTGCTGTACTCATTCACCATGTGCTCCGCTATCATTTATTGAATTAGTTGGTTAAAGCTAGCCAAGTTTACACGACTAAAAATATAAGTTGAGCTTACGTGATAAATTTACTGAAATATTTCAAGTTAGGAGCAATTCAAATGTATGAGTACGAAATAAAAATCTGCAAGTTCTGCTTACTTAAACGTTAAATTAGTCAACTTAAAACATTTTTACAACTTAATCGGGTTTACAGTGCAATAAAACATTCATGCTTTCTTTGCCGAGGAGACGTTGGTGAAACGCCACTGGGTTTATATATGAAAATATTCTGGACTCATGTAAACAACAGCTATAAATACTCATCTGTGTTTTGAGATAAAACTATTTTTATATTTTTTAGAGGGTCTATGTTTCTGTTCACCGCACTTTCACGACCATTAGAGGCACTAAGGGTGAAAACGTCGAATAAACACTGCAGTGCATTTATATGAACGATCAACATTCATCCAGAGGAGTTTTGCTTTTCATTTAGAAACATTCCATTCTTGTATTGTGAAAATCAGTTCCCTCATTTAATTTTTGGCGTTATTTGCTTTCTAAAAAATGACATGTGTGATTGCCTCATTCTAAGAAATCACATGTTTGTCTTCACAATCTTCCATTACTCATTCATAAACAACTTTCCTTTTCATTATTGATCCGCTTTTATATAGAGACACTTTCATTAGTCAAACACATTAAGCTGAAATAGATTTGACAAGCGAGTCTGAGCGTATAATTTCCACACAATCCCTCCGTGTTTTAGTGTGATTGTGTCCATGTGTTGTTGTGTGTTATTTATGATATTTATATATATATATATATGTGTGTGTCGCTGGCTCTAAAATAATCAACTGTATTCTGGATCGCTGTGCTGAAAAAACTTGCACGGAGATCGTAAGTTTCTGTTTTGCTGCTAGAATACTAAGTGAAATCTGAGGTTTTGTATGATTATAGATCAATCTCAATAAAATATGTATGTACCTTTCTATGGAGATCTGAGATGTTCACCTTCATCCGCTCAGATGATCAGCTTCACTGCGTTTATCTTATTTCTGGGAGAAAAATAATCAAAAGAAATTAAGTTACAGGACGCTGATCATCATAATGGTGATGTCAAACAAACCACTGTGATCAACAGCGACTTTGTTTATTTCACAGTAAAAATCAGTGTTTTAAATAAGAAAAAACAATAATTATGACATAATAATTTAATATTGTGACATAAAACAGACAATTTGTTTTAGAAAAAATGTCAAAATTCTGATGTTATATCATAATTTTAACTGTTTAATCTCATACTTATGAGTTAGTATTTCTAATTTTGTATGTCAAATGTCATAATTTAGACTTTGTTATACAGTATTTATGACTGTAATCCTTCAGATTAAAAAAAAAAATTGCCTCCTCATAAATTCGACTTATATAATTGTTGTGAATCTCTTTACATTTTTAAGGTTGTAATGATTATTTACAAAAGCATGATTTTTTTCATGCAAAATAATCGTTACTCAGCGATTTCGTATGACGATACACTCTCACTCACACAGTACAATAAATTACACTCTAATCAATACTTAATTGTCATATAGATTTGCTAAGTCGTGTTTGTGTACATGTTGTTTCTTGTGGATGTATTTTATCTTGATTCTTGACCGATTGGGTTGGTTAGAGAGGCTCGAGATATTGAGCAAAACATGATTCCCGTGAGGTGAGCGAGAGACACACACCCTCCTCTGACCTAAACACAGTTAAAGTAAGGTGAGCACTTCTGCCAAGTCACGCAAAGTTGGTTTTAGAGTAATTTATAACATGTTCTGAATGTAAACAGACTCTCACGGGCCTCACACTGAAAATGACATCATTGATTTATCAAACAAAAGGGTCGCTTCGGATCCATCTGGACCTTTACAATCAGTGAGTTTCATTAGAATTATGGAAAAAGTCCTAATCATTTGTCCTGTATCTCTTTGATAAAGTGTCTCGGATTCATCTGGCCTTTGTTTGTTAGTTTGTTGGTCGAAAGCCTTCAGCACATAACATGAGTTCAGCATGTCTGAGTCCAAATAAAATCAAAGACTGAGCGATTCTGGCAGCGTAATCTGTGGACACGTCGATTGAGTTTTATCAAAGCTTTGAATCTGAGCTAAGACCTGATCCAGTCTAAAACAACACAGAGATTGAACACACATGGGCCGATCTCTCCAGACTGTGACCGGCTCACTACTCAACATCGAAAGAATATTCTGCCAAAACAAAAATGAAGCCTATTTTTAGGATCATTGCATTAAGCGGTCTGATAATAATGCAGATGAAGAAAATGTATTACAATTCACTTGATTATACATACCAGTATTAACATTTTATTGAATTGTTAATGATTTAAAATGTAAAAAAACAAATGTGATTTCATATTTTTGGTTGAAGGATCAGAGCGGTTTCTCCTCCAGAGGGCGCCGACTGCCCTTTCTGCACAGGTTTGCTTATTTAAATCATTATCACATGTGTCAAGTCCCCCTGTGGTCAACAATTTCATCTTTTACTACCAAAATTTCATATTTTTCCTTCATGCCTTAAAATATCTTGAATGCAACTCGACACCCTTGCCTTATTTAGTAAACTCAAACCATATTTTTGAGGCTGTCTTTGGTTCACTGCAGTTTTAAGCAGAAAATACTCAACAATGCTGTCCACTTATGAACGCACACATGGTGTGTGTTAAAGCATATAACACATTTAAAACTCTTTTAAACATTTAAATATGTCATTTTGGTGATAAATTAAGGGATAAAACTATTGACTACAGGGGAAAAATAAAGGTTCTTTATCGGCACTGATGGTGCATAAAAAATATTTAACATCTATGGAAGAAATGATCACAGAAACGTTTTTTTTTTTTGGAAACCAGAATTAGTTGGCATCGCTGCAACAACAAAAGTGTTTTTTTTAATAGAGGATCTTGTATCATTTGACTCACATCAGTGTGTTATTGTCTTCATCTGAATCTGCTGAGAGCAGCCAAACAGCCTCAATCATGCTCACCACAAACACATGCTGACAAACTAAACGAATTAAATGTTAACCGTTTGTTACTCTCTGCCAAATGAGACTGTGTGAAGTTTAAGCAGACGTTTCCTCACAGACGGCCGGAGCTAAACTCCGAGTTCTGGAGACTCAGTTTGATCCAGAGCTTCTGCAGGTCTTTTTGCAGGGATTCAATTTCAGACGGAAAAGGGACTCTGGCTTTGAGATCGTCATATATTTCTCCAGAGTGACGGTAGAGATGTGAGGAAGACTCGTTCAGGTTCTCATCATACGTCACTGGCCAATCAACCTGAAACATATGGTGTATTAAATCAAACATGCTTTGGGACAAATTTCATAACAATTTAGAATTTTCCATCGAAAAAAACTCAAATAAATAAAACACCTACTTTTTCAAACTCTTCCTAGACAAGGAAATTGGACCAGATAATCTTCAGAAAGTTATGGGATTTAAGTTGATTCGTCAAACTGTTCTTGAATAACGAGCGAACGAATCGCACGCCAAAATGAATGTGAGGCTATACATCTTCACAACACTTAAACGTATTTAGACCAAACTTGGTGTGTGTTTTGACAACCATGATCTGAGGCGACCTGCACAGTTTCGACAAAGTGCCACCTAGTGGTCAGGAGATATGAAAAATTTACATTTTTGCTTATAGACCATTTCACAAGATGTAAACAATCACTGGTCCAGAAGCACTTCCTGTTTCAGTTTTTTAACACTACATAAAAGCTGGGATAAAATACAACCAACAGAACATTTAAAACTGAATCAAAAAGTTAAACAAACATCTTTAAGATGTTTCCTTTACATGTGAAATAAAGAAAACAGTTACAAACTGAAACAGGAAGTGCTTCTGGACCAGTGTTGTTTACATCTTGTGAAATGGTCTATAACTTCTGAACCGTTAGGACCATTAGATCCAGTCGAACGATACCCAATTTTTCTTTATCGGTCTTTTTGAATTTTGTCATAAAATTATATTTTTAATGAACACAAATGTTCTAGGAGGAGCTTGAAAAAGTAGGTTTTCTTAAATGAAATCAAAATGGCGAACAGGAAGTTCGGCCGACTATAGGGAAAATTGGTATCTATGTTCTCGGCATGACCCATAACTATATTGCGCACTAGTGTGGACACTAAAATAGGCCTAGTTATCATTCTTGGTGTGAATGGGCCTTAATTTACAATGGCTTCAAACGTGACTCAACCAACCAGAATCAAGGACCGGAGGTTTCTGTTTTATTATACACAGTAAAGCACTAAATGTATAAAATGTGTTAAATAAGATTAAAAAACAAATTATAGAGTGGAACTCAAAACCTCATGATAATGTCACATTTCCTCCCAAAATCTAAAGAGGTTTTACATTTTTTATATATATTCAAAATAGGCCAATTTTTTTAAAGACCAATATGTTTTGTACTGTGATATTATTTTTATGAAAATGCATCATATATAAAACTAGTCTAAATTATAGACACAAATACTACCATGACATGTACATACTTTATATAATTATTTTTGTCTTTTTTTTATTCATGAGAATCTAAAGGGGAAATTAGCTGAATTGTCAATTTCATGAGGTCCATCATACTTTAAATTTATATAAATTTAATAATGTATCATTGCCCTGTCCATTTTGTAAAAAAAAAAAAAAAAAAAAAAAGGTTATATAGGTTATAAAAAAAAAGATTATAAAAGATATATATATTATATACATATATATTAATTTTGAAGTGAACATCTGTGGACTTGTTTAGACTCACCACAGAAGTTTTGGCGCGATTTCCTGAGACGTTTTGGCGCGAATTCATGCGACTGAAAGTTATCCAGTAATGAAACACACACACACACACACACACACACACACACACACACACACGCACGCACACACACACACACACACATAACTATAGTTAACTCAGCTGCTTTAATCTGCTAAATGATCATTTGAACCCACCAGTCCTTGAGCTTGAATAAAATCACCCAGGGAGCAAATATTCTTCTTATTCGTCTGTTTCTCCATGATCTCGAACAGACAACAGTCTGTTGCTAGGCAACCGCCAGCCACTCTTCCGGCTTCCTCGAGGCGTGTGTTTCCGGTGCGCAGAGAACACGTGGGATTGTTGTCATCTGTTTTGCAGTGTGGAGTGTGTGGACGCGATCATGTCGGAATCAGACTGCGCTGCCGGGGAGAGGAGCTCTCTGAGCGGCCTGATGCTCGCGTCGCACGCCCCGCTGGATGACGCGCAGCGCGCGGGCCGGATGAAGTGCTCGCGTTGCGGCGCGTCGCGCATGTTTTACTGCTACAGCTGCTGCGCGTTGGTCGGGCTGGAGCCGCGGGACGTTCCGAGCGTCAAGGTCCGTGAAACATCACATTAAACACTAAACAGCACGCGCTCGCATTATTATTATCATCACACATAACTCGGTTAGCATTTAAAGGAACAATTAAAGCAAAACTGTCAATTCTGTCATCATTTCCTCACTATCATGTCGCTCCAAACCTGTATGAATGATGTTAAAATGACAAAAAAAAAAAAAAAAACCAATAATAATCTAAAAAGCAGTGAAATTTACCAGAATTTAAAGTGACTTGTTTTTGTGGACTATTGCAGTGTTTTTAGTAAATGATTCATCAGTGCACATCATTTTTGTCTTGATCAGAATAACTTCCTCTTGCAACATCTATTTGCATGACGAGGGCGGGGCAACCCGTCACTCACAAATACGATCAGCCAATCAATTGCCCACTAACAAAATCAAGCCCCGCCCACATTTGTATGTCTGGGTTGGGCTCTTGTATGAGCTGGATTTTTCATTTCTTTCTCTGTACTCCTCTTATTTATGTCATTAAGTGATTGTGAAACACTTTGGGCAAGAGCTTTCGCATTAAACGTGCTATATAAATAATGTAAAACTGTTAGGAGGTTCATTTATAGACCGAGCCAATTCTTCATGATTGAATTAACTGTGTTTTACATTTTGGAATTATGAGTAAAATAAGGTTTGTGGTTACTCAATAAACTTAAAACCCACAGGAAACTCTTGCCCGCCAAACACTCAATCCTTCCATAGTTTTAGGGATCACATGAATCGACATCTCCTTTCACGGTCCACCGAAAAAGAAATATACAATGAAACGCGTTGTGTGTTTGTTAAATTGACGCATTATGCCCCTTTTCACAAGACGTAATATTAATCTATGGTGTCTCCAAAATGTGTCTATAAAGACCGTCAGATCATTTATTATAGCTAGTCAAATTTGCCCCTTTTGGGCTTTTTCACTTTTCATGTTTTCAGAGTTGGTAAAAACACGGGAAAAGTCCGATTTTCATCATATGTCCCCCTTTAAAGCTCATGAAACATTTGTCTGGTGTTTTCAGCTGCCGGTGAAGATCGACATCATCAAACACCCGAACGAAACAGACGGCAAGAGCACGGCAATCCAGGCCAGAATCCTCGCGCCGCAAGACGTCACCATCTACACATATCCCTGCATCCCCGAGCTGGACCAGAGCGCAGAAAACGTGAGCGAACAAACATTTATATCACGCTAATTTTCTAAGTTATACTGGTTTCACTGTATATTCCCAACACTGGTATTGCAGTATATTAAACTAAAAATAAACACCAGTATTCGGTATGAAATGGTACCCGACCCGCCGTGTGCCGCGTCCGTCTCAGGTTTTACAGATCCCTGTTCTTCCCAAAGATCGTGCTGGTGTTTCCCGGACCGGATGCGATGACGGTGGAGGAATTATGGGAGTATTTTTCTGCCGGTGGAGCGCAGAGATCGAAGAGATTAAAAGCGGCGGCTTCCGAAACTCACACCTGCCCGATCCAGAGAGTGGTTTTCATCGACAGCACCTGGAACCAAACCACCAGAATCATCACAGATGAACGTCTCCAAGGTGCCAGCAGATTCTAGAGCCCGACCGATAAAGGATTTTGAAGGCCGATACCGATACAAATATTTTTGGGTTTTAAAATCCGATATATCGGCCGATATTTTTTTTTTCTTTTTTATTTCAGAAAGGCGCAACAAAACATTAACAGATTTCCCTAACATTAGTTATTTGTAGTTATTTATGAGTTTCAACCAAAATACCGTAATATGATAATGCATTTTAAAAAGAAACTTTCTAAAAGTTTCTTTTATTGTCACAACAGAACAGACTGATGATAGTGGCATTAGCTAGCTTTATGGTTAGCTAGTCTATGATGAACCATAATTTAGCAATGGATAACGTCATACTGCAAATTGTAAAACATACATTTTCAATATAACTGGCCGAGGAAACTTCCGCCGGCCACAAATTTTGTCCTGCTTATTTGAGTTAAGAGAACTGATGGGGATGTTCTTTTAATTGTTATTCAAGCGATGTATGTCTCGTGACCAACTCAACGAGTGTTGCCAACAGGAACGGTGTAGAGTGCCCTCTGGTGGACAAACTATACAACTCCAACACTCATGACATGGTTGAAGCGCGTTTCGTCCGTTTTTATTTTATTTTTGAAATATTAATTTATCGGCCATTATAACTGCCGATACCGATAGTTTGGAAAATGCCTAATATCGGCCGATAATATCGGTCTGGCTCTAGCAGATTCCCTCTCATCTTTAGAGCTTTCACACTGTAAAGTCAATCATTTTATCCCTTAAAACTCTTGAAAATTAAATATTTAAAAAACATTTTCCTTGGAAAAAAATTTCTTCATGCCTTAAAATATCTTGAATGTAACTCGACACCTTTGCCTTCCCCCCGCCTCCACTCACTCAGAGATCCACTGGTTGACGATCACTCGTTGATCTGATTGGTTACAAGGTAGTTTGCGACGTCAGAAACACCAGCGATTTCCAGCCGTGTTTTTAATACTGGTTGTGGTGTTTTTAATATGTTTTTAAGACAAACCAGGTGTAAATTCATATTAAAACACCACATTAAAAACACAGTTCGAAAACGCTGGTGTTTCTGATGTCGCAAACTACCTTGTAACCAATCAGATCAACGTGTGATCGTCAACTAGTGGATCTCTGAGCTGAGTGGGGGTGGGGCTCATTTGCATATTCATTGAACCGCGAATACTAAATGAGGCAATGGTGTCGAGTTACATTCAAGCTATTTTAAGGCATGAATCAAGGAAAAAAATCAATTTTGGTGATCAAAGATTAGTTTTAAGGGATATAATGATTTATGACAGGGGGACTTTGAAGAAATATACATTGTCCATTGTACTTTTATTATGTACTAAATTATAAGTGTAAAACGTTCCTTCACCCGAGGTTGAAAGAGATCGGCGCAGTGTGAAAAGTCTCAGAGGTGACGTTATTAATGTTATTTCTCTGCAGCTTTACCACACGTGGAGCTCAAGAGCAGGAGAACCTGCTTTTGGCGGCGTCAGAAAGGCAGTCCGGACACATACTTGGCCACAATAGAGGCTGTTTACTACTTTCTGAAGGACCTGCACAGCCACTACTTCTCCGAGTACACGGGAGAATACGACAACCTGCTGTTCTTCTTCTCATTCCTGCACAAACTCATCAATAAAGCCAAACAGGCTGCTGGGAAAGTGTGAAACAAACAAACAACCATTATTTCAACGCAATGGATGCATTTCGTCACAGTGAGATTTAAGTATTTTTTTATTTACGAGTCAAAGGTCAAATGCATATTCCCAGAATGCTGAAACGTTCATTGATTTGATTTCTAAGGCACTTCAATGTGTATTTGACAATAAATGATTTCTTGCACACTTGTTAGTAAAAGGCGTGTCTTATTTTGGCCTGTAAACTTATTTTGGCGTCTCCCAGGAGCACGGAGGTTTGTAGAAAATGGGGTTATAGACCGCAGCGTATCCAACACCCAAAGTGCACTTCATCACACACACACACACACACGCTTAGGCCATGTCCACACACTAAGGGTACGTTTCCACAACAACGATATGCTTAATGGAGAAGTTATTTTTTTGTTGAGTTTTCCGCACACAGACGACCTCATTGTCAAAACAATCCACAGATTTACGACTAAAATCACTGTATTCTGCTACCAGGCCACTAGATGGCGATGAAACACTATAGATTGAACACGCAAGACGCCATCGTCTTCAGAGATTCACTTTTTTTGTTGTTTACACTGAGACCATTTTCAAAAACTTGTAACACGTTTTCAAAAGTTTGCGTCAGCACCCAAAACGCCGTTGTCGTGTAAACGAACGGCCAAAACACATAAAAGGTTTGCGTTTTTAGTTGAAAACGGTGTCGCGTGAAAGACCCCTAATACGTTTTCGTTTGATAACGCATCTTTTAGTCTTTTGTCTCGTTTTGGACTTCCGTCACAATGAGACAGCGTTTTTATTAAACTAACCTCTTTGAAAACGTGTTGTGTGATTGAACTGCCAAAACGGAGGGATTTAAAACCGATGATGTAAGTTTAGTCATGTGACGCATATTGTACCAATAGATATTCATGTTTACACCGGTGTTGTGCCTGTTATGTGCTGTTCACTTTCACACACTTGCTGAAATACGTTACTTCGCACACTCTTCGCATCACAGTCATGTAAAACATTAAAACATTCAAATTTACTTGTATTTACTCGTCCCGTGGTAATTTAAATTTTTAAGCAGTTTAGACCAAACATAAAATGGTGAGTGAGAGCGACCTGGATGCATCAGTGAATGCTGAGATACTGCCAGACGAAATGTGCGAAAAACTTTATTATTTAATTTTCCATCATCTCAGCGATGCGTTTATGTCACAAGATTAAATCGGAAAGTATTTTTTGACATGCGCAAACTGCATGAAAATACAGTTTCTCATTTAGTTTACGTCATTCCGCGAGTTTACGTTATTTCTACGTCATTGCGCTATTTTGCGCCATTTCTACATCATTACGCTATTTTTTTCTATTTCTACGTCATTGCAGTCCTTTCAGTTTCGATTTCAATCCGATCAAGTGTTTACATGTTCTCTCAGAATGAACAGGAATAATCACCCCTTTCAATCCGATCGACGTTTCGTTCAGATAGATTAAGGCGTCTACATGAAGGCTTCAGTGTGATTGAGTCGTCACTCTGATTACTACCGATTATTTGGTAGCATGTAAACGTAGCCAGTGTGGATGAGAAACTTTTGGAAAGCGCTAGTGTGGACATTTTGTGTTTTCAAATGTAGACGTAAATTTCTCACACAGCTGCTGTTTAACCTGTATAATCAATTACCAATAATCACCTGCTTTGACTTCCACACTTCCAGCACCGGCATCCCAGCGATTCTAGAGTTCGGATCTTCTTGCGCTGCGGAGTTGACGGTGTCATTGGCTCAGATCACGAGCGTCAGGACGGTTTCTGCACACACACACACACACACACAGAAAGGTTGTTCTCATGCGATGCGATCAGGTTTCTCCCTCGCTCTACATGCTTATCTGCGCCGGCTAAATAGAAACACGTGCTGCCCTCGACTCTGACCGCAGAGACGCCATGAGGTTGCATGTCTAGGCACAATTACATAATCAAAATGAATTATTACAAAGATCAGACTCCACATGTGTCCGCGAGTCTGTGGATCATCGGCTCATCCGCCTGTTCCGGACTGATCCGGTCCGAGACATGTTTCACACACTGCATGCGTAAACAACACACTGACAGCAGTCAATCGGGCTAACGCTGTAATTTACTTAGGCTATTTAATATAACATTATTACATTATTAGAATAATAAAAAAAAACACTTTTTATTCAGCAAGGACGCATTAAATTGATCAAAAGTGACATTTACAATGTTACAAAAGATTCTATTTGAAATAAATGCTGTTCTTTTGAACTTTCTATTAATCTAAGACTTCTGGAAAATAAAATGTGTGAGTGTTTACACAGAAGTCTGAGGCGGCACAACTGTGTTCAACACTGATAATAATCTTAAATGTGTCTTGATCATCATGTGACACTGAAGACAGGAGTAATGATGATGAAAACTCACAGGAATAAATCACACTTCAAATCACACCAAATTCGAATAATATTTTGTGATTTTTACTGTATTTTTAATTAAATAAATTCAGGTTTTATCACAGGAATAAAATAAATTTTTTCAATAAATTCACATAGAAAACAGCCATTTAACATTGTAATAATATTTCACAATTTTTACTGTATTTTTGATTGAATAGTAAAAGTCTCAAAAAAAGTTTATTATATCTGTCCCTATACAAATAAAACATTAAATTAAGAAATCTGACCTGGGAAATCCTTGTTGATCTCGGCCTCGGCCAGGAGAACATTGAGCTATCCGGGCATCCGTCCGGCCACCGGGTGAATCCCAAACCTGACACACACACACACACACACACACACACACACACACAGATGATGCTCAACTACTGCAGAACATGAGCTTTATAATCACAACAATTCAACATCAGAGCAAGTCATTCGGTCACACTTACTATAGTGAAAAACACTGCAGAAATGATGATGATGATCCTCAGTATTTACGTTTGGTTTTCCAGCACAAATATATAAACATTCTGAAATAAAGATGCGTTTTCTGGAGAAGCAGAATAAAAAAAATTGCTCAAAATGAAGTGAGTTTGTGCTTAAAACAAGAAGTAATATCTGCCATTGAGGTCAGAAATATAATCTTAATTCAGTAAATAACACAATTGTTTATTTATAGTCCATCTGCAGATATTTGTTTTAAGTTTTAAAAAATGTTAAATTTTGCATTTTGCTTTAAGAATGTTCATTTGTACTGGAAAACATGACAAAAATACTAAGAAAGATTGTGATTTTTTTTTTTTTTTGCATAATGCATAATTACGTGACTAACTATAATTATATTGTAAGTGCATGTTGTTAATTAATATTACTCAGAACTTATTAGTATAAATACGCTCTAACAAGGGCACCTGAAAAGAAAGCGCAAGCGTTTATTCTCCAGCATCTGCGGCGTAAATACTCTGAGAATGTTTTACACTTTCCCTCTTTATTTACAGAAAGCCTGCGTTTCTTTATTAGACACAGATGTGTTTTGTCTCCTTTTTAACAGAATTACGCTTCTGACCTGCCAAGTATTTAAGACACTGAAAACATTGGATGTGTGCGAGTTCAGCATGCGATTACTCTGAGCTTATTTTGATGTTCTCCCTGATTTAAGAGTTCGCGAGAGTTGAGCGTCTGACCTCACAGTTTTGCCCTGTTCCTTCAACATCTTCACCATGTCAGCGATGGGATACTGAGCCTTGGCCTGTCTCATACACACACACACACTAACCTGAGCCCTAAACCTGCCCATCACACACACACACACACACTAACCTGACCCCTAAACCTGCCCATCACACACACACACACACACTAATCCGACCCCTAAACCTGCCCATCACACACACACACACACACTAATCCGACCCCTAAACCTGCCCATCACACACACACACACACTAATCCGACCCCTAAACCTGCCCATCACACACACACACACACACTAATCCGACTCCTAAACCTGCCCATCACACACACACACTAATCTGACCCCTAAACCTGCCCATCACACACACACACACACACACACACACACACACACACTAACCTGACTCCTAAACCTGCCCATCACACACACACACACACACACTAATCCGACCCCTAAACCTGCCCATCACACACACACACACACACACACACACACTAATCCGACCCCTAAACCTGCCCATCACACGCACACACACACACTAATCTGACCCCTAAACCTGCCCATCACACACACACACTAATCCGACCCCTAAACCTGCCCATCACACACACACACACTAATCCGACCCCTAAACCTGCCCATCACACACACACACTAATCCGACCCCTAAACCTGCCCATCACACACACACACACACTAATCTGACCCCTAAACCTGCCCATCACACACACACACACACTAATCCGACCCCTAAACCTGCCCATCACACACACACACACTAATCTGACCCCTAAACCTGCCCATCACACACACACACTAACCTGACCCCTAAACCTGCCCATCACACACACACACACACTAATCTGACCCCTAAACCTGCCCATCACACACACACACACACACTAATCCGACCCCTAAACCTGCCCATCACACACACACACACACACACATACACACACACACACACTAATCTGACCCCTAAACCTGCCCATCACACACACACACACACACATACACACACACACACACACTATGGGAGTTATTAATCTTCAGTCACGGAGGAATCCCCTAAACCCCTTCACTTGATGTTTCAAGAACCACATTTGCTTCAGGTTTCCTGCTAATAACTGCAGGAGCGTGGAGAATCATGTCATCGGCCGTGTGTGTGTGTGTGTGTGTGCGTGTGTGTGTGTGTGTGCTCTCAGGGAAATCCGTCTGATTGCAGTCAGATTGCAGAGTTTCCTGAACTCCAGATGTCTCCCTACAGGAGGATCGCGTGTGGACTGGAGACACGCACACATGTTTCGGCTGCTCCACATCAGGCTCTGCTCCACATGTTTCTCACACTCCCTGAGCGAGTCGAGACTTGGCTAACGAACTCTAGCTAACGAACTCCAGCTAACGAACTCTAGCTAACGAACTCCAGCTAACGAACTCTAGCTAACGAACTCCAGCTAAGGAACTCTAGCTAACGAACTCCAGCTAAGGAACTCTAGCTAACGAACTCCAGCTAAGGAACTCTAGCTAACGAACTCCAGCTAACGAACTCTAGCTAACGAACTCCAGCTAAGGAACTCTAGCTAACGAACTCCAGCTAACGAACTCTTGCTAACGAACACTAGCTAACAAACTCTTGCTAACAAACTCCGGCTAACGAACTCTGGCTAACGAAGTCCAGCTAACAAACTCTAGCTAAAGAACTCTAGCTAACGAACTCCAGCTAAGGAACTCTAGCTAACGAACACTAGCTAACAAACTCTAGCTAACGAACTCCAGCTAAGGAACTCTAGCTAACGAACTCCAGCTAACGAACTCTTGCTAACGAACACTAGCTAACAAACTCTTGCTAACAAACTCCGGCTAACGAACTCTGGCTAACGAAGTCCAGCTAACAAACTCTAGCTAAAGAACTCTAGCTAACGAACTCCAGCTAAGGAACTCTAGCCAACGAACTCCAGCTAACGAACTCTAGCTAACGAATTCCAGCTAAGGAACTCTAGCTAACGAACTCCAGCTAACGAACTCTTGCTAACGAACACTAGCTAACAAACTCTTGCTAACAAACTCCGGCTAACGAACTCTGGCTAACGAAGTCCAGCTAACAAACTCTAGCTAAAGAACTCTAGCTAACGAACTCTAGCTAACAAACTCTAGCTAACAAACTCCAGCTAACGAACTCCAGCTAACGAACTCCAGCTGACGAACCCTAGCTGACGAACCCCAGCTAACGAACCCCAGCTAACGAACTCTAGCTAACGAACTCTGGCTAACGAACTCTGGCTAACGAACTCCGGCTGACGAACTCCAGCTGACGAACTCCAGCTGACGAACTCTAACTAACGAACTCTAACTAACGAACTCCAGCTGACGAACTCCAGCTGACGAACTCTAACTAACGAACTGTAACTAACGAACTCCAGCTGACGAACTCCAGCTAAGGAACTCTAGCTAACGAACTCCAGCTAACGAACTCTTGCTAACGAACACTAGCTAACAAACTCTTGCTAACGAACTCTAGCTAACGAACTCCAGCTAAGGAACTCTAGCTAACGAACTCCAGCTAACGAACTCTTGCTAACGAACACTAGCTAACAAACTCTTGCTAACGAACTCTAGCTAATGAACTCCGGCTAACGAACTCTGGCTAACGAAGTCCAGCTAACAAACTCTAGCTAACGAACTCTAGCTAACGAACTCTAGCTAACGAACTCTAGCTAACAAACTCTAGCTAACGAACTCCAGCTGACGAACTCCAGCTGACGAACCCTAGCTGACGAACCCCAGCTAACGAACTCCAGCTAACAAACTCCAGCTGACGAACCCTAGCTGACGAACCCCAGCTAACGAACCCCAGCTAACGAACTCTAGCTAACGAACTCTGGCTAACGAACTCCAGCTGACGAACTCCAGCTGACGAACTCCAGCTGACGAACTCTAACTAACGAACTCTAACTAACGAACTCCAGCTGACGAACTCCAGCTGACGAACTCTAACTAACGAACTCTAACTAACGAACTCCAGCTGACGAACCCCAGCTAACGAACCCCAGCTAACGAACTCTAGCTAACGAACTCTGGCTAACGAACTCCAGCTGACGAACTCCAGCTGACGAACTCCAGCTGACGAACTCTAACTAACGATCTCTAACTAACGAACTCCAGCTGACGAACTCCAGCTGACGAACTCCAGCTAACGAACTCTAATGAGCTAGCTAACGAACGCCAGCTAACGTTTTGACAGGGTTCTCAAAGTTATGCTCAAACGTTCTTTCAGTAACATTAATAAAATAAAAAGTGGTTTTAAAGTATTACAACCCCCATCCTTCCCTCGGGTCAGTTTGACCAGAAACTTTTCTTTTAATAAAATGTGAGTGTTCATCAGAGGTCCAAGACTCCAAGACTTTAGTTACACTTGAACCACAAACACATTTTTTTTTTTAACTTTTTTCTTGAGAGAAAGAGAGAGAGAGAGAAAGTGTGTGTGTGTGTGTGTGTGTGTGTGTGTGTATGTGTGAGAGAGAGAGTGAGTTTGTTAGTGTGTGTGTGTGTGTGAGTGATTGCCACTGCTGGTTAAAGGGTTACTTAGTTCACCCAAAAATGAAAATTCTGTCAGTGTTTACTCACCCTAAACACATAGAGGTTTGGAACAACATGAGGGTGAGTAAATACTGACAGAATTTTCATTTTTGGGTGAACTAACCCTTTAATATCACAACTCAACCATTCAGCATCTTTATCCATTCTAAATATCAGTGTAATATCTCAGTATATCTGTCTTATCTAGCTCATAATCCCATCTCTCTCTCTCTCTCTTCATCCATTGACAGACACTGACCTCTAGTGTTCACGTGTCTGACAGCAACGCTCAGTGTAACTGTGTTTGAGGAATATAATGTCTAATATCACAGTGATCCTCCTCAACAGCGAGTCAGACGGCCACCGAAACATGAATATATCAGGAAGACTTACAATATTGTGTGATTACAATTACTTACAATATCATATTAATATTATAATCTGTGTGTGTGTGCGTGCAGGACCACCTTCAGGACCAGATCTGACTGGAACGGCCCCTGGTGTCGGTGATCTGCGCTCCGGCGGCCCGATACTGATCGTCGGAGAACTCGGCCTCGTGTCCGGCGCCGGACTCCACATGGACCCTGAAGCCCTGCTTGACCAGCAGATCCACACCAGACACGGACACCCGCCGCTCCTGCTGGAAGATCTCCTTAGGGACTCCCACCTGCACGTCTCTATACCGCACACACACACACACACACAACCACCTACAGTGTGTGCATCCCAGAGTTCACTAGCAACTGCATAGCAACCCCCTAGTAATGTGCCAACAGCTCAGAGTTTTGCACAGCAAATATCACTCACTTTATTTTCAGAAATATCTCTAGTTAGAATTACTACAGACCAAGGTTATTATCGTTACTATAATTCAAATAAAGCTGAAGAAAAAAAAAACAGTTGAAAAAACTTAATGTAAATTCGAAACGATGCCTTGGCAATAAAAGCTTTCTGTCCTGTTTGGAAGCTTTTTTCCGCAACACAATAATTCAATTCAGACTTTTCTCCTCGCAATTCGCATTTCTCTCAAATTGCAATTTAGACTTTTTTCCTCAATTTTTTTTTAAATCGCAATTCTGACTTTTTTCTCAAAATTAAAACATTTCATTTTTTCTTGTAATTCAGACATTTTTTCGCATAATTCACTTTTTTTTTTTTTGCAATTCGCAGTTTATTTCTCGGAATTCTGACCTTTTTTCTCTCAATTCGCAATTTATTCTCGCAATTCTAACTTTTTTCCTCGAAAATCTTTTTTTTTTCTCGTGCAACTTTCTCACTATTCTGACCGCATTTTTTCTTACAATTCGCATTTTTTTCTCGGATTATGTTTTTTTTCTTGCAATTCACAATTTTTTTTTCTTTCTCAAATCATAACTTTTTTTGTCATTTTTTTCTCACAATTATGACTTTTTTCTTAGCAATTCACATTTTTTTTCTCACAATTACGACTTTTTTCTCGCAATTCACATTTTTTCTTGCAATTCTGACTTTTTTTCTTACAATTCTGACTTTTTTTCTCCTAATTCTGCTAATGGGGGGAACATGAATGCCTTTGAAACAGTGATTTCGAGGCTCTGGAGATGTTTTCTGTCTTTCTGCGTTTTTCTGTCTACTTAACAATGCAACAGTGGGAACATTTTGTCGACACACAGACGCTCAGCGTGACGGGCGGATCAGCTAACACATTTCACTCCGTAATTGGATCCCAATACACCCAATACACCCCAATACACACTCCAGAGGACCTGTGAGGACCTGAGGACCAAAGAGGACCTGTGATGCTTTTCTCCATCTTCATCTCTTCAGTGTGTGAGCATGAGGAGCTCCAGTTCTCCTCTATATCAGAGTCAGTGTTTCTGAACTCCTGAAACGCCTCCATTGTAGTCTTGAGTTTCTTCGGGGAACACGTCACAATATTCCACACAATTTTGACTTTTTTTCCTCACAATTAAGACTTTTATCCTCATAATTACGACTTTTTTCCTCTGACTTTTTTGCTCACAATTACGACTTTTTTTGTTACGGCACACTATGTAGGATGCAATATTATAAAAAGGAGTATGCAACAATATTTAATTTTTTAAGCAAGTTTTAAGTAAAATTGCCTGAACTTTTGCAAGTCTAATAAAAAAAACGAGTCAAGAGAGAGATGTTAAAAATCTTGGAGTTCATTTGTGACAGAAAACGGAAGCTGAAGTTGAGCTTTACACAATCTCACACAGTGACTGTAATACAGAGATGAGTATGCACACTGTGCACTGTAAGAACGAAGAGGAGTGTTATTCACATCACTACTGTCTTTCAAGACTCATCTTACAGTCTTTTAGGTAAAGCATTCATTATGCATGCTTGATTTGATCATGTGAAGCATCTGATGATGTGAACTGTACATCACCCCCTGTTCAGGGTCATGTCTGATTGGCTCACGTGTTCGGGTTCAGCTCGCCCTGTCCTGACGCCCAGTCCTCAAGCTCCGCCTCTCCGCTGGTGATAATGGGCGTGTCCACCGACAGGCCACGCCTCTTCCCAAACACGCGCTCCTGCAGCTCGATGATGTCATGACGGATATCTGCCATCATCAGTAACAGGAAGTCGAAGGACCCTGGAGGCCCCTGAAGAGAGATGCAGTGTCTACATTTTATTCAGAATATTTCATAGTTTTTGTCCAACAGCAGCAGCAAAATTATTATTAATTATTAGTGTTGAAGTTTCAGGTTTGATTCTTTGCTTCTGTGTGAGTGAAAGTCACTGTGCGGGGTTATTACTGTTAACTACAACTACCATAAAAAACAAACATTTTGGCTACTTGAAATAAATTGTCATCTGAAATTAAATAAAATAGTTTAAAATATATATATTTTAGCTAGCTCCCAAGGATTTCTCATTAAGTTGATGTGCTAAAATAAAATACAATTAATAAAAACTATTTATTTATATACATTTATATGTAAAAAATAAAAAAAAAAATTACGAAAACTTTAGAAAAATTAAAATAAAATTAAAAATATTAAAAAAACAATTCAAACTATTAATAAAAACTAAACTGAAATAAATTAACATTAAACACGTTTAGTTTAACAATTCACTAAAATAAACTAAAACTGAAATCAAATTAATATATAAATGTAATAAAAATGTATTATTATAATATAAAACATAAATAACAACATGTATATTAATTACAAAATTACTAAAACTAACAAAAATTAAAATGAAAACAAAAAAATAAAAACTTATTAATAAAAACTATAATAGTATCTCAATGACACCAAAATAAAGAGATCACGTCATCATTGCTGATTAATAAAAGGCCTAATCTAATAAATTAATAATAAACTTTTTTTAAACAATCTCTTATCATCTATAATGACTACATTCTCTTATTTTATCTACATTCATTCATTATTTTATTTAAATAATAAAAATAATATATCATAAAATCCTACATAAAAAAAATGTATATAATAAAATCTTTAATCTTTTCAAATTTGAATCTTAAATAAAAAGTATAAAGTTCACAACAAAAGACCAAAACACTAAAAACAAAGAAACCCTGAATGAACACAAATGTTAAATGAGTTTAGTTCAGTGCTTCAGCCCCAGCGGATTACATCAGTTTAATATTTCGCTTTAGAGCAAACCCTGACTCAGAACAATCAACACAGCAAACTGCACAAATATTGAACATTTCAAAATAATATCATAAATAATATTCCCGTGTGGAGTGAAGAACGTACCGGAGATCCTCTGGGTCCAGGAAAACCTCTGTCTCCCTGCAGAGAAACATTCAAACATCACCATTCATCTGAGACAACCAGAATCATCATCACAATGCCATCATAGTTTAACATGGAGTTCGAGACACGTACCTTCTGTCCGTCTTTCCCCGGCGCTCCTGGAGATCCCTGTACACACACACACACAGTAAACTCCCACAGAAAACGAATAAAGGAGACATGGACATTAACCCTGTAAAGCCTGACATATGATATAGACAACAAGTATCATATTTATTTCCTAACTCGTATGATCCAGGCTTTACAGGGTTAAATGTGGGTTCGATGTTCTGGTCCAGCCTTGAGGACAGAGAGAACAGAATAAGACTCCCGGACTTTTCTCGCACTTGAACCACAAATACACACAAAATATTGAATAGATTCGAGGAGTTTTGTGGTTTAAATTTAAAAAAGTAACACACCCTTCACTCTCGGGTCAGTCTGAATGCTTCAGTTCACACCGAGAACATGAAACATGCTCAAAATTCACACTATTAATGCTAAAACTTTCCAAAAAAATGATTTTATACAGTCTACATGAGTGTGTGAGGGGAACTGGCTTTCGGACCCAGCGGGACAGCTTCTCTGCTCATATAGAGATATAAGCCCATCTAGAGTCAGCAAATATCATCTGATATTATTATTATTCCACAAACACACTCAATCTAGGACATTTACAGCTGAATTATAAGGGTTATGAGGGAAATTGAGCTTATAAAACTTTATTTATTTATTAAATTAGCGATCGTTTCACTTGATAAGACCATTATTCATCGTCTGGAGTCGTTTAACCCTTGTGCATTGTTCAAATTCACTACCCTTTCGTTATGTTCGTGGCTGAAAAAAGCCACTACTTTAAACTGCTGTAAAAATGTATCAGATAAATATTTTTTTCAATTTTTTTTGCATAAATCTATTAACCGACCTCAGTCCTGATCAAAACTACTAAATTTTTTTTAAAAAATTCAGGATTTTAACTCTTTAATTGCCAAATTCATAAATGATGTCACTGATTTGGGGGAAAAAAAACACAAAATGACTTATTTTCAATATAAAATATGATTGTGGACTGGATTTTTTTTTTACCTTTTATCACAGTCTTGGACATGTCAAAGATTAGAAACAACATTGGTTTTGATGCATTGTTAGTTTTTGTGTAGCATCAGATTTTAACTTTTTCTCCCTCATTTACTGTTCGTGGCTGTTTTTGCCCCATTGACTTCCATTATAACCACATTTTTTGATTGCAAAGCCATGACACCATAAAATCATGCATTTTTGATTGTTGATGGTTTTCCCTGTTGGGAAGAGGTAAAATTTGTAATTTTTACTGTTGATAACCAGGTGGAACCATTTAACCCTTTAGACAGGCCTGTGCAAAAAAAAAGCTTAGTTTCTGGCTTTTACATGCAGTTATATGGAGTATAATAGCATATTACAGTGTGTATATGTGTGTGTGGGTGTGCGTGAGTGTGTGAGAGAGTGTGAGAACTCACCTTGATGCGTCTGAGAAAATAAAAATATACACTTCAGCTCTCAAAACTACATGGAGTAAACAAAAACAAAGTAAGTGTATTTATGCATCTGCTGCCTTTTGATGGTGAGAAATGCAGACTAAACAAAAACAAAGCGAGTGGATATAAACGCTTGTCATTTGATGGTGAGAAGAGCAGCAAGCAACATGAGAGAGGGCTTGACTTGTAGTGAAGTTTTAGAGATGATTATGCAGTCTGACCCCTCCAGCGAGCTGCAGGAGGTATTGTCTTCTCACTCTGACCGCAGACTCAGGACAGTCAGATCCTGGTTTGGATGTGGCACCCTCATCATCATCATCTCAAGCTTCCACTGAAGGCGAGGAGGATTCAGATGATCCTGGATCTGGATGGACTGGGAGAATCTTCAGAGGGACATGGTGGTTCTGAAAATCGCATGACCACTGCGATCATCCCACAGGCAACGTGTGGACTCCCCTCTGGATCTGTAGACGCTGGCCAAAATCAGTAGCCCCATGCACAGAGATCTGTGGAGTCCACAGATCCAGGATCCTCTGAATCCTCCTCGCCTTCAGTGGAGCTCTAGCTTCCACTGAAAGCAGGAGGATTCTGTGGATCCTGGATCTGGGTGGATTGGGAGAAATGGTGAAGTATGGTTTTCCACCAATGCGGAGACAATTCCCTTTCTTCAGCCTGCAAGAGGCGTGAGTCGAGGGCCGACACGCAATGCTATCGCAATGGTTCAGAACATGGATTCTGTGTTCAATCTGTTTTTACGGAGGAGACGACTGACCTCATTGTCAGCATGACCAACCTCCATGGGCACCGCACAATGAGAAACTGGACTGGGGTGGACTCCACAGATCTCTGTGCCAACATGGGGCTACTGATTTTGGCCAGTGTCTACAGATCCAGAGGGGAGTCCACACGTTGCCTGTGGGATGATCGCAGTGGTCATGCGATTTTCAGAACCACCATGTCCCTCTCAAGATTCTCCCAGTCCATCCAGATCCAGGATCATCTGAATCCTCCTCGCCTTCAGTGGAAGCTTGAGATGATGATGATGAGGGTGCCACATCCAAACCAGGATCTGACTGTCCTGAGTCTGCGGTCAGAGTGAGAAGACAATACCTCCTGCAGCTCGCTGGAGGGGTCAGACTGCATAATCATCTCTAAAACTTCACTACAAGTCAAGCCCTCTCTCATGTTGCTTGCTGCTCTTCTCACCATCAAATGACAAGCGTTTATATCCACTCGCTTTGTTTTTGTTTAGTCTGCATTTCTCACCATCAAAAGGCAGCAGATGCATAAATACACTTACTTTGTTTTTGTTTACTCCATGTAGTTTTGAGAGCTGAAGTGTATATTTTTATTTTCTCAGACGCATCAAGGTGAGTTCTCACACTCTCTCACACACTCACGCACACCCACACACACATATACACACTGTAATATGCTATTATACTCCATATAACTGCATGTAAAAGCCAGAAACTAAGCTTTTTTTTGCACAGGCCTGTCTAAAGGGTTAAATGGTTCCACCTGGTTATCAACAGTAAAAATTACAAATTTTACCTCTTCCCAACAGGGAAAACCATCAACAATCAAAAATGCATGATTTTATGGTGTCATGGCTTTGCAATCAAAAAATGTGGTTATAATGGAAGTCAATGGGGCAAAAACAGCCACGAACAGTAAATGAGGGAGAAAAAGTTAAAATCTGATGCTACACAAAAACTAACAATGCATCAAAACCAATGTTGTTTCTAATCTTTGACATGTCCAAGACTGTGATAAAAGGTAAAAAAAAATCCAGTCCACAATCATATTTTATATTGAAAATAAGTCATTTTCTGTGTTTTTTTTCCCAAATCAGTGACATCATTTATGAATTTGGCAATTAAAGAGTTAAAATCCTGAATTTTTTTTAAACATTTAGTAGTTTTGATCAGGACTGAGGTCGGTTAATAGATTTATGCAAAAAAATTTGAAAAAAATATTTATCTGATACATTTTTACAGCAGTTTAAAGTAGTGGCTTTTTTCAGCCACGAACATAACGAAAGGGTAGTGAATTTGCCCAGAGTGTACTGTTGAGTTTTTGAAAAATTTCAAAGCATTTTCCCAAAATATGTGTCAAAATAAGATTTGTCACCAAAAATCATTCCATTTGCTAAAACAAAGAAAAAGTTACGGCCAAATTAAGACTAAAAAATACCCCTTAGTGGCTGAAAAAAGCCACAACAGCACATAAGGGTTTAAAGCTCTTTGAACAGTTTGTAGTTTGCACTGAAACTGTCTTTTGGACCTTGAACCGTTTGGACCCCATTGAAGTCCATTATATGGAGAAAATCCTGGAATGTTTTCATCAAAAACCTTAATTTCTTTTCGACTGAAGAAAGAAAGACATGGACATCTTGGATGACACGGGGGCGAGTAAATTATCAGCAAAAGTTTTTTTAAAAGTGAACTACTCCTTTAAGTTCATTTTGACCCCTGAGGAAAGGATGTGTGTTTGTAATGAAACTCCTCTGAGATCTGAGTGTGTGTGTGTGTGTGTGTGAGTGCCAGATTCACCTGCGGCCCCCGCCGGCCCGTCTGTGTGTGCTCCAGATGCGCTGCGGGTAGGGTGACCACCCGTCCCGCGTAGCGCGTGCGCGCACAGCGTTTGAAGCCCAATTCATGCGTCCCGCAAATTGAGACCGTGTCACGCATAATCAATGCTTGCTCAAAAAAAAAAAAAAGTCGGTCAGTCTATATCCTCGAGACCCAGGCAGCCAAACGTTGTGCCTGAACTCGTTCACGTTCATGAACTCGTTCATATTGTGGGTGAACTGAACGTATATTGTTTTACTGCGTGTCCTGATTAGTGAACTCGTTCATTCTGGTGTCTGTGAACGCACGCTCTCTCATTTTAACTTCGTTCAATGGGGTGCCAGATTTCTATAGAGCCTTCCAGGCGAAAGCCCGGCTAAAACTCAACGTAAACAGGGTTTAATATGTAGCGAAAAAAACACCCAATCTGGCAACACAAGCCACCAGTGTCGCACCGCGCGGCCGCCGTCGACAAAGGCGTCATGATAATTTAAACGGATTTTATAACGAGGTCGGTGAAGATGGGAAAAATCGTACATTTCTGTGCAAACTTTGAACTGAACTAGTTCATTTTAAAATGTGTGAACTAAACTTTGAACTAGTTCAGAAAGTGAGAACTTCCCCAAGACTGGTTGCCACTCCCACGTGACCTGCTGACTAGGTTGATGTCAACTTTTTCATTGTTGTCATGACAGCACACCTTGTCGTTCCGTGAACCTCTGGAGTTGTGAGTTTAGACTTTTTTTCGACTTTTTTTTTAAAACTGTTCCTGTGGTGTTGAGGAACTATAATTCCTGTTAATCATATAATTTTATATTTTTATTTATTTAAAGTGAATTAATTGTAATGAAAAATAAATAAAATTAAATAGCTAAAGTAAATCGTAAGTGGAAGTGCATCTGTCAATTCATTGAATGTTCAAATATTCATTTTATTTAGAAAAAAAAATACACATTGGTTGGCCTATTCATTAGCATATATCAGCAATTACACATGTTTAGGGAATAGGGCATTATTAATGTATGTGCTAAGGTATGTGCTTTTTTATTTATTTATTTTTTTTTACAATTATTCATGTACAAACAGTAAGGCAATAGTAACAATTCTAGATAGGGGTAAACCACTATCAGAGTCTGCCCGTGGGATGGGGGCACCGCCGCGCCAAGCAGTGTCCCACATTGTCCCTCAGAAACATACCCCTTGTCCCCCCTTGGGCTTATTAGCAGGTGGTCACCCTAGCTGCGGGCCCCACTGGACCCATGTCTCCTCTGGGCCCCTGTGGTCCCGCCGGCCCCTCGACCCCCCTCTCACCTGAAACACACCAACATGAGCTCAAATACTTCATCTGAGAGTGTGTGTGTGTGTGTGTGTGTACCTGGCAGACCAGGGGGTCCCGGAGGTCCAGCAGGTCCAGTGACGGTGACAGTATCGGGATTTTTCCCAGTTCTCTCGTGAGCCGGTTTGTGGCGGTTGCTTTCAGGACTGGGAGACAAACCCTGTGCAGAAGAGATGTGTTTAAGCTGATCAGCAGTGTGTGTGTGTGTGTGTGTGTGTGTGTGTGTGTGTGTTACCTGTGCAGGTGTGTGTCCCAGCAGGAGTGCGATCTCCAGTAAACTGCTCCTCATGTTCATGAAGTCTCGACAGCTGAGAGAACATGATCCAGAGCTCATCTGAGTCTCAGACTTTACAGAGGAAATCACTGACACACACACACACACACACACACACGACTGCACATATTAATATCAGGAGAAATAAAAGAGAACAACTTTAATGCTTTTGAAATAAGTCTTCTGCTCACCAAGGTTGCATTTATTTGAGACACACACACACACACACACACACTTACAGACGCATGAGCGCTGATCTGCTGTCAGTGTGTATCCAGCATTACAGCTGCAACGGAAGCTTCCAGGAGTGTTTTCACACACATGTTCACACACATTGTTTGATTCCTCACACTCATCCACATCTGGACCACAGCGAGCGAGCGAGAGAGAGAGAGAGGTGGATGAGTGTGTGTGTGACCACAGCATGCTTCATCATGTGACTACTGACCGATGCAGTATGGGTGCAGGTGTTGGCGATGTCTCTCGCGGTGGAAGCGGTAACCATGGAAACACGTGCACAACACTCGCCCGAAGTTATCCGTGCACTGTTGCTCACAGGGAGAGCCGGCACACACATCCACACCTGCACACACACACAGGTAAAATAAATAATGCAATAAAATAAAATTAATAAATGTAAATAAACAAAAATAAAACGTAAAAAAAAGAAACCCATAAAAAGAAACTAATAAATAGAAAACAAATAAACATGATAGAATAAATAAATGTAAATATATGTAAAAAATGTAAACATGAATAAAAATAAACAAACAAACAAAATGGAAGAATGATCATTTCTGGGTGACTATTCTGGTAATGTACGTTTCATCATATTAAAGACATATCCATATGATTGAAGAGCTGAAGATTCACCTACTTTCTGGCACACACTGACCCATCACAAACCTGAAGCCTTCACAGCACTTCCTCCTGCAGACACACACAAGAGCTGCGCTTACTGCTCCACTCACACTATCACAGGAAGTGGACAGCATACTCACATGCATACTCACTCCATCCATACTCACATGCATACTCACATGCATACACACTCCATGCATACTCACATGCATACTCACTCCATACTCACTCCATCCATACTCACATGCATACACACTCCATCCATACTCACATGCATACTCACTCCATCCATACTCGCATGCATACACACTCCATCCATACTCACATGCATACACACTCCATCCATACTCACATGCATACTCACTCCATCCATACTCGCATGCATACTCACTCCATCCATACTCACATGCATACTCACTCCATCCATACTCACATGCATACTCACTCCATCCATACTCACATGCATACTCACTCCATCCATACTCACATGCATACTCACTCCATCCATACTCACATGCATACTCACTCCATCCATACTCACATGCATACTCACTCCATCCATACTCGCATGCATACTCACTCCATCCATACTCACATGCATACTCACTCCATGCATACTCACATGCATACTCACTCCATGCATACTCCCATGCATACTTGCTCCATACTCGCATGCATACTCACATGCATACTCACATGCATACTCGCATGCATACTTGCTCCATGCATACTCGCATGCATACTCACTCCATCCATACTCACATGCATACTCACTCCATCCATACTCACATGCATACTCACTCCATGCATACTCACATGCATACTCACTCCATGCATACTCCCATGCATACTTGCTCCATACTCGCATGCATACTCACATGCATACTCACATGCATACTCGCATGCATACTTGCTCCATGCATACATACATGCATACTTGCTCCATGCATACATACTCACATGTCTACTCCCATGCATACTCACTCCATGCATCCTCATATGCATACTCCCAAGCATACTCGCTACATGCTTATGCCCATGCATACTTGCTCCATGCATACTCCCATGCATACTTGCTCCATGCATACTCCCATGCATACTTGCTCCATGCATACATATTTACATGCATATTCCCATGCATATTCACTCCACACATCCTCATATATATACTCGCTCCATCCATACTCATATGCATACTTCCATGCATACTTGCTCAACGCATACTCATTTACATACTCCCATGCATACTCGCTCCATCCATACTCGCATGCATACTCTCTAAAAACCATCACAGTCCATTAAAATACACTTCAAAAGAAGGCACTCTGATTGTGTGTGTGTGTGTGTTTTCTCAACACTTGTCCTGCAAGTCAGACCCAAGAGACGGTCTTTCCTCTTTTCATCACTCTGTCCATCACGCACTCTCTCTCCCTCCTGTCATCATTTCAGTTTTTCCCACACTTCATCTCTCTGTACACGGCTTTATCTTGCGTTCACACACGGACATCCTCATCAGAATCATTTACCGCTTCAGACCAAAACAAACGACAAAAGCACATGACGTGTCGAGAACATGTCAGATCTGTTCCTGTGACCCTTGACCTCCTGACCTCTGCTGCTCCTTTAGGAATCTGACCTCTCTCAACACACATCTCTCTCACTGAGGGACATCATAGACTTCTATTGTTGTTTAAATCGCTGATCATCATGACTACAGAATAACCAAAAACTGTATAAAAAACGAAATATTATTTACTTAATATTTATATATAAAATAATTTTACTTTTGATGATGTTGTTTTAGATTTAGCTAATTTCAGCTGACAATTTTGTCCTCAAATAAACTTCAACAAACGCGCACACACACACTCCTCTGGTCTCCATTTGCACAGAATAACACACACAGCTCAATCAGATCTTACTTTTTAAATATTGATCACTGTACAAGGATATAAACTCAGTATAAATATTTATCATATTATCGTCATAAGAACTGAGAGTGTATAAAGCACAATTGCTATTTCTACTACAGACTGTGTGTGTGTTTCAGCACAGACAGACAGAAGCAGTAAATGAGTGTGTGAGAGTTTGTCTCTGGTTGTTCTTCACTCACACCTCGAGAACACCAGCAGTTTCCCATAATGCACTGCAACACGGCAGCTGTGATCACAAGAAGAGGATTTACCTTCGGAAATCCTGCCAGGAACACACACACACACACACACACACACACACTCTGACGTATGAAGCATGTATGATGCTGTGTGAAGTATGACGTTGTATGAAGCGTGTATGATGATGTATAAAGTGTGTATGATGCTGTGTGAAGTGTGTAACAGTGGTGTGTGTACCTGAGACAGATGCTTCTCTGACCGCCAGCTCTCAAACACGGATACTCCACCATCAGCATCTTATTCTCTGGACAATCCTGTCTGCAAGAGAAACACACACACACAAATCATATGATTTTTTTGCTTTTTTTTTTTTGCAACTTACTGGTAATAATGATTGTCTTGTATTCTCCTGTTAACAGAGAATAGAGAATCACAAGAGCCGCTTTACTGATGAGAGACTTTCATCAAAGCATTGTTGAGAGTATTAATGTCACTCATAATAATGACATGATACTGGAACCGGAGAATCAAATCAGTTCTCTTTAAATCAACTCATCAGTAACACTTTACAATCACTCAAACAATGAACAACACTTCTACAGCAATAATTAATCTCAACATTTAATTATTAAAATCAAAAGTTGTATTTGTGACACATTGACGTCTATTCATCCATTCAACATTTGTATTAACTAACATTAATAAACGCTATGAGAATATATTGCTCATTAATGTGCCTGTAAACGTTGAGATGATCTGGGATGCACAAACACTCACCGCGAGGCGTCAGACGCGTCCACGCCGCGCGTCCACAGAAACACGCACACGACGCCAAATGTTGCGCGCGAAAGCCGCGTCATTTCCTTCCCGGATTCACTGTCACGACGATTCCACGCGTCCCACGAACCTAAAGAACTTAAAGAAAGAAAGAAAAGAGAAATTCAGTGTGTCATCTGTCAGCTGTGAGCGCGCACTGACACACACTTCAGCAGAACACACACACGACAGATGAAGCCCCGCCTCTCACACACACCTAACATCCAGTGCCCAACTTTAATTGAAAAACATTAACTTTTTATATTGATATATGAAGAGTTCAGATGCAAAAGCCAAATGCCATTTGAAATTTTCTTCTTTAATGATGATTTTTTATCAAACTTGTATATTTAAGTTCAGTAATTTCACTTAAATAACAATTAATAGGTAATTATCATTACCATTTAAGTGAAATTACTGAACTTAAATATACAGATTTGATCAAAATAATCATTAAAGAAGAAAATTTCAAATGGCATTTAGGGGCTTTTGCATCTGAACTCTTCATATAAAGATGCATGCATTTTTTATTAATATTAACCTTATTTTTCTTTCACAAAATCGCTCTTGTCCTGTAAAGGTTACTCTCACAATCACTCACTGCACATTAAAAGTGGAAAGATTGATTCAGATTCTGAAATATTGACTGACTATAAATATAACAATATAAAATGACATTTGATTGATTGATTTTTGTGTAATCTGTGTAAAATGTGTAATCAGTATTCTGATAATAATCCCGAACAACACACATCAGCATCACAAAAATAATATCGCAAAAATAAATATTTTATACTGTAAAAAAATAGATTTGAAATTACTAATTGCTAATTACTGTATACTACAATATGAAATCATTTTTTTCCTGTATTATTTATCTTCACAGTTCCAGTTTGAGATGGAAACCGTTCCTTTAAATGGATCAAACTCATATTCATCTTGGAGCATTTTCAAGATTAATTTCCAAGCAAATTGATTAAATATCAACAAAATGATTAGTTTGTGGATTTAAAAGGTTTACCCTCTTGGAAAAGGCAAAGAAATATGAATATATGTTGTAAACGCCGTCCTGTTTCAGTGTGTAGACTCTGACGGCTCAGTTTCTCATTGTAAAGATGTTAGTTTGGTTATTGTTTTGGTTATTCCTCAGTGAGTTATGTGATCATAACCGTGTCCTGATGCTCTGAACACATGCTTCTCACAACTAATGAGTGTTTTTGAGAACCGCCCAAACCACACATAGCCTACACACACACACAAAATGGACAAAAACCCTAAATTCTCCCGCAAAATTAAACTTTACATTCAAAACAGTGTTATATATTCTGAAATGACACACACAACCCATCATATGAAGACATTAATAGTTGAACACTGATGCGCTCGATGGAAAACACTTCTCCTCCATTCATCAGAATCACCTTTGTTTTGTTCAGTGTTACACTTACAGACAGTTCGTACAGGCTACATGTGTTGTAAAATAGTTGAGAATATTGTTTTATATATTCAGAACACACAAATACACACTTTTTTCCCACAAAAACAATGTACACAGTGTACATCCCAACCAACACACAGTTGCACGTGGGTCTACAAACAAAACAACAGAAATATTTACTGTACAGTTACAGTAGTTTCGGTATTTATGCTAAAGCTCTGATTGTTAATTGTAAAACTGTGTGACGTGTTTGCCCGTGTGATGATCAGTGTGCAGATCTGAATGCCAAAAGCAGATTGCGTGTAGTGTTTTGAAAAACGCGTGTTTTAGAACTTTAATTTGAGTGTAAAGAAGGAACTGTCCTTGTATCACTCTTAGAAGAAAAGGTTCCATATAGAACCTTAGAAGGTTCTATCAGCACTACATATTTGGAACCCCTAAAAGGTTCTATACACTCTTAAAAAAGGGTTCCTCTGGGTTCTATATAGAACCCTGGGTTTCCATACTTGGCCAATAGAACCTCTAAGAGTGAGTTCAGCAGAACCGGTACCAAAAAAAATGGTTCTATATAGAACCATTTTGGAGTTCAAATGGAACTCCAAAATGGTTAGAACCATTTTATTTATTTTTTTGGTACCAGTTCTGCTGAACTCAATCTTAGAAGAAATGGTTCTATTTAGAACCAGAAATGATTCCATCGCTTCAATATGAAGTGCGGGTATGGAACCATTTCTGGTTCTAAATAGAACCATGAGTGAGTTCAGCAGAACTGGTTCAGCCCAGCTAACAGGGAACGTTCCCAGAACATTCACTAACGTTCTTTAAAAGTTGTGTAAATGTTAGGACAAAACGTTATTAAAATAATGTTTTCGGAACGTTCATATAACATTATTAACGTTCTTGTAACATTGAGAGAAAACGTTCTTAACAACGTTCTTGGAACGTCTTTATCACGTTATTTGTATTTGATGAACGTTCTCATTACATTAATAAAAAACGTTCTTAGAACAACGTTATCGGAACGTCTTTATCAGGTTATTTGTGTTTGATAAACGTTCTCATAACATTCCAGCAACATTATGCTAACCTTAGGATAACGTTCTAACAACATTATGCTAACGTTCCAGCAACGTTCTGCAAACATTAAGACACTGTTCCAGCAACGTTAAGCAAACAGGACATTTCCACGTTTTTAGAACATTTTAAATTAACGTTCCCACAACCAAAATGGAACGTTAGAAAAACGTTCTCAGAACCTAACTTTGTTAGCTGGGAGAGGGTCGTGTGTGAGATACATGTTGTGCTCATCGTGTCTCAGAACTTGTGTGTGAACAATTGAGAAGAACTGTAATATAAAATGCTGAATAAAATGTCACACGTTATTTGTAAATGTTTTTCCGTATTTCCTCATCAACAGATGCAGAACATCTGCACTAAACACAGAACTCTGCGCTTTATGGAGACCAACACAAACAATTCATGAAACACCAATAAAAACATTAATGGGCCACAAATGAACTTCCAGAGAATTTACAGAGAGTTTAATAGATAAAGTCACAGAGGGAGAGAACACACTCAGTCGGAGTTCCTTTACAATTAAACCAGGAGAATTCATTAGTTTTATTGTGATAAACAGATTTCTGTTTTCCAGTAAAGAATGTGCAGTATGGATTATTAATTTCTGTGACACAAACAGTGAATTTAGATTATTAAAACTAGATAATGTCTGTCACGGAAGCAGAAAAATCAACTTCATTCAAATGGAAAACAAGATTATTTTAAACTCACTTCATTTTCATAAACTTTTCAGTAAACAAGACCTGATGTCTTCAGTAATTTCACTTCTCCAGTAAATGTATCTTGATTTTTGAATGATTTGTGCTGGAAAACGAGACAGAAACCGAGGAAGAACGTCGTGTTTTGACTGTATTTGTTCACTAACGCGCCAAACTCTCGTGAACTCAGTTCGTTCAGTTAATTAGAAATGTAGGAATGCTGATGGATATGAAACTATTTGTCCCACAGCTCCAGACGAGCCGCAGTGTTTAACGAGTCGTGTTTATGAGTGTGAAGGAGCAGAAACATGTTCATATAACCTGTGTCACACACACAATCTACTAAACAAGCGCGTCTGAACCCAAAAACTCAGATTCATCGATTTACTTAAAGTTAAAACATCAAATTAAAGTGGAATATTGGGAAAAAACAAAACAGCCACAGCGCAGTGACGTCAGTGACCTGCAGGGGGCGCCAACACATCATCCCCTCAGATAAACACAAGAGTGTGTGTGGGAGTGAGTGTGTGTGTAAGAGAGAGAGAGAGAGAGTGAGTGTGTGTGTGTGTGTGTGTGTGTGTGTGTGTGAGAGAGAGAGGACACACTGTCACACTTACTGTCACACATAGGTTTACTCACTCTCTCTCTCTCTCTCTCTCACACACACACACACACACACACACACACACACACACACACACGCACACACGCACACACACTCTCTCTCTCTCTCTCTGTTTATCCTCGTTCAGAAACAAGATCTGAAGGGAAGATCACTCTCATCCTCTCTCTCTCTCTGTCAGACACACACACTCTTTGCCACACACACTCACACAAACATACAGATTCACTCATCTCTCTCTGTGTCTCACACACACACTCTCTCTCTCTCTCTCTGTCTGACACACATACTCTTTGCCTCACACATTCACTCAAACACACAGACTCACTCTGTCTCTCACACTCTCACTCTTTCCCTCACACACACACACACACACACACACACACACACACTTTAAATCGAATGAGAGTGACATTTGTCTGTAAAACACATCATTAACAGCACAAATCATCTGAACGAAAGGCAATGTGACTCATGACCTCCATTATTATAGATGAGGAACACCTCGCCTACACTTCCCCCACAAACAAAACATCCCACACACACATACACGTCACAAAAACACCTGAGTTAAAAACACACACACATTCTGTTGATAGTGTGATTTCCATATGGTATTTTGTATTTCCCAATATTTTGATATTTTCCAGTATGGCGCCGCCCATACCCCCCACAAACCCGTTCTTCAGAAAGTCTATGGGTGACGTCACAGACACTATGCACTGTAAAAAAATATTGATGGTTTAACTTAAAAAAGTAAGTAACCTGGGTTGCCTTAAAATTTTAAGTTAATTGAACTGGAAAAAGTGAGTTAATACAATGGAGATTAATTTAATCATCAGAAACTCAAAATTATATGTTATCTGAATTAAATAAATTATTTAAGTTGATTTGACAAAAGAAAAAATGTTGTGATTACTACACTGTAAAAAAATATTGTTGGTTTAACTTAAAAAAGTAAGTAACATGGGTTGCTTTAAAATTTTAAGTTGATTGAACTGGAAAAAGTGAGTTAATACAATGAAGGAGATTAATTTAACCATCAGAAACTCAAAATAATAAGTTATCTCAACTAAATAAATTATTATAAAGTTGATTCGACAAAAGAAAATATTTTGTGATAACAAATCTTGAAAATATTTTTTACAGTGTGGGTTTGATGTGAATTCGTGTAGTGGAAAAATCTGAAGTTCTGCGTCAATTCGCGCTGCGTTAACCAATCAGGAGCCTGCTTGCTTCACGTGGCAAAGTGACATTATAATAAACTCCTACTCAAAGTCAGTCATTCGAAATGGAGGCGAAGTTAATTTTAGCTG